CCAATTTATACATCGGTTATTTACGTACAATTGCATGTTTACTGTTTTTTACTGTATTTTTATCGGGTCAATGACCAGTTGCTCGGTAGCTGTGGACGAGTGAGTGTGTGTTGTGAAATATATTAAGAGTGGTCCTGTATCAAAAATAGTAAAACAATGAATCTGTTACCTGTGGTTGCAATGTGGTGCAGAATTAGGCAGCGTAGGATTGAGAGGAAGTACTGGATTCAACCCAATTAATCAAGTTATTAATTGATTAAAAACCCTAATAATAATAAATAATAACTAATAAATGTTTTTTTCTTTACCCTCCAATTGTTCAAAAACCTCTCTCAGAGCAGAGCTAACTAGTTTCCACACTTCTTTCATTTAATTTCTGTCCTTATAATAGTTTAAAGTTGTATCCCACAGTACTGGGTTTGCTTCCACTAATTCAATCAAAACATCATTGTCAATTATTTCTTCAGTTGCTATTTTTGATCTACACGATGATTAATATTTGATGCCATTGTCACTCACAACTGTCACTATTCACTTCAAAAAACAAACGCAGTATGCAAAGTGCACAGAGAGAAGGTGCAACGAGAACTAGGACTAATGGGGAGAACGCACGACATCTGACAAAAAAATTGTGGTGTGGGTGAGCACCCATTTAATCATGTACGCCCTTGCAAGCACGACAGTCGGGTGAGAGTCGCGGATCATAGTTTCAGTGGACAAATGCACCACAAAAGAATGATGTGGTTGTTAGATAGGATAGGATTGGTTTACTAACCGGAATGTGCAGGACCGATATTAGGAGCAAGACAATTCGCTTTTTTGGGGGGCGACATAAAATTTTAAATGAAAAAAATAGTGATTGTAGTGAATTCTGACTATTTTCCTTGGCTATGTAGACATTATTATTGTCTTCCATTATCCGATTATCAACGTCTCTCTCAATCGCGGCAAAACAGATTAAATCAGTGAAATTAATTTATAAAAAAAAAAATAGATGGGCCCCCTCCTAGGCCTAGGCCCCCGCAACTGCTGTTTCCGCTGTTAGGGAAATACAGCCCTGAGTATTTATGTAGTTTGGAATTTTGCTTTACCACTGACAAGATATTCTTCTTGAACCTCATTTGGGAAACAGATCAGCTCAATATAGCATGAACCTTAAACAAATTAAGAGACCTTTTAAAGTGTCTATGTATTTAACAACTATTAATTTCTTTGTTTTAAATAGTAAATCATTTGTAAGATAATTACCTTAAGGGACGAAACTGTTCAAGGAGCCTGACGTGGCCGACGTGGGGCAGAATTTACAGCTGAGTTAAATTCCATGCTACGCTTTTGGTACGATTGGCAGACAGCAGCACACCACGGTGATATTCCTGCAACAAGGCACATCAAGGGGTTAAAAGGATTAAAGGATTAACACAATTATGATTAAATATATACGTTTCTTGTAAAATCAACAAAGTCTAGAATTTAATTTATCATATCTTCGATATATATAGAATTTACTGATTATTCTGGACAAACGCCAGTACTCAGTTAGGTAATATAAATCTATCATGAGATCTATTTTATTTGTTAGTTTATTTTTCCAAATTATACATCGGTTTATTAACATACTATTGCATGTTTACTGTTTAGTAACGCTGATCTGTAAATCCATTGTGTATCTTCATAGACTAAAATAATTAAATATAAACTGTCAGCAGGTTATGGCACACGCCACTGGGAGCGCTGTGTAGTTACGTAGCATTAACGTCGTAACGTAAATCCATTGAGTATCGTATTCTTATCAATTTAAACATTTAGTTATAAGATATGTAAAAAATTACCTGCAAATGATAAAAAAGACAGCTGATGTTAACATCTTCTTGAAGCGGGAAGTTCATACTTGGAAGTAGTTGAATTACTTGCTGTGAGATTTTCTCAGGAAAGTTCACCCGCTACAATCGGAGAGATCTGAAACAGGATCAACAAACTATTAAAAGTAATCCTATCTGGACCAAAACTTACTTCTATTTACCTGTGTTGTGTGATGCAGCTTTAGTGGAATTGGTTAAAATCAACATTTGTCACTTCAAAAATTCCAATCTCTTGAGGGAAAAATTCCTAATCCTAAAGGGACAGTTTAATAGTTGGCAGTTCTTTTTCTTAATTTTAAATATGGAATAGCTTGACCTAAAATCTTATTTGCTGACATCCATTTTTTTCCATTAAACCTGTAGTAAACTCGCTTGGATACTTGAAATATTCTATGAGTTGAGATCTCTGCCATCTACTTATACTAAGGTTGTATCATTATTGTTTCTATTTGGTAGAGTAGATAAGATACTTACTTAGGTAGTCGAATACAGCTCTGGCGATGCCTTTATGGAAGCTAGCAGGATGAAGAGAAGAAAAGTAAGAAAATCATGTCAGTGGGTTGGAATAAGGTTTAAGGGATACTTTGGAAAAAGGACACCCGTGGTAGGGAGAGGAGGTCCAGACACAATTATTTTCATCTACCTCTTCTCTCTACCCACAAGCGCTCCCTCGGCCATGTTCAGGGGGAGGGCCTCCTGTTTCTACCACATAATATTACCGTACTGTGGTAGGGCCATAACACAAGCTTAAGGTGTGAATTACTAATCAAAAACTGTTTTCAAAACTCCAAAAAAATTTGAATTTTATCAAATATATCTTACGATATGAGTTTTGAAATAATTTAGGGCCGAAGCCCATTTATCCCTCCTTGCCACCCCTGGTAAGAATCTTAGAAGTTTAATCATGCAAAACCTTACATAGGAATCTATTTTATATCTATTTTTTGGTCAATTGATGTCCCCATCTGCTGAAGGCATAAATAATTCCCTATTTACTGGCTTTGCCTAAGTAGATAAGAGTTATATAATGGCTTTTCATGGTTAAACTTCTTAAACTTTTACCAGGCTACTGAAAAATGACTTAATAAATAACTTAATACAAAATATATGTATATCCTACAATTATTCCTTAACTTAAAGAAGGCGTATTAATAACACCTAGTTAAAGGAAAACAATATCTAATAATAAAAATATATGTACAGTATGCAACATTTGAGGAATCAATAAAATTGGATTTTACGAAAAACTACACAACTTACCACTATTTTTTTATTTGTGATTTCCTTAATCTTCTTCTTCTTTTTCTGGTTCATTTAACTAATATTAACAACAACTCAAACTATCCAACTTAATGACTCATATCTGAAATCGCGTCAAATCAACTTTCATCACTATGTTCGTGCAACAATATCAGATGATTTGAAACTGGACATGGAAACTAATATAAGTACACACACACACACAAAACAAACAAACAATTAAGCGTCTTGAATTTGAAGATCTGCTCTCGAAGATGTCTCGTAGAGGATGGCCTGGCACTAACCTATCATAGCTATGAAGTGTTTTTGAGCTACTGTAATAATATCTTAATTATCTTTCTAACTCTATACCTGATAAAAAGAACCTGAAAATCCCTAATCTGTTGTAAAGCCTATGGCTAATCTGTTCATGGAAAGATATACAAAACTTTACCTAACACTGTATGGTAAAAAAAACCTAAGCATTTTCAATCTGTACTAAAGCCTATGGCTAACCTATTCATGAAAAAATATAGTAAAATATCACCTAACACTATCTAATAAAAAGAACCTGAAAATCCCTAATCTGTTCTAAAAGCTTGTGGCTAACCTATTTAAAAAAATAGTAAAATTTCACCTAACACTATCTAATAAAAAGAACCTGAAAATCCCTAATCTGTTCTAAAAGCTTATGGCTAACCTATTTAAAAAATAGTAAAATTTCACCTAACACTATCTAGTTAAAAAAAACCTGAAAATCCCTGATCTAATAAAAATCATAAATAAAAATTTAGTTATCTGTGATAACTCTAACCATCCCTAACCTCTTTGTAATAACCTGAAACTAAACGACGGGGATTTCTTCAGTGAAGCGAAGACTCAATCTGATGAATGATGGCAAAACATATAATGCACACAAAAGGAAAGTTCCTACCTTTGGTACGACAGCAACTCACACCCTGTAATAGCAAAGTCCAAGTGAGCAAAAATCATCTAAAAATTAAATTTTGTGAGTTTATAATTACAAAGATATTCCAATATTGCCTTTTAAATTATATCTGTTTAGTATCTATTTATATACTAAACTGAAATGTTGTATATTGTAATATATTGAAGTACATTGTAATTATTACAAATAACATGTATTTACACTTTAATGCAAAATGCATGAAAAAAGATCCCATGAAACCAAAAGGTTGGTTTAAATGTAATGAAAGATTATGACTTTGTTCGTAGATAAAGTCTCCATCGAACTGACGTCCCAGTAAAGCAGGCTAATTCAATAAGACACCTGAATTCGTATTACTTGAGTTTTTTAAAATATCTTTCATCCAAGTGATTTTTATCAAACCATTTTACATATTTAGTTACAAGAAATATAAAAAAATACCTCTAATTCTTACAGAAGACACCTGATGTCAACATCTACGTAAAGGAAGTTCATGTGTGATCCTCTTGAAAAATTTAACGCGCACGCAAAGTCGGAAAGATCTAAAACAGAATCAAAGAATTATTAACATGTATCCTAACTTGACCGGCACACACATCTTCACATCTAATTACTAGTGTTAAATGATTCTACTATTTTTGGTGGACCCACTGTTATAAGATTATTAGTCATGTTTATCCTGTATTTGTTTGGTATTCAAAAACATAGCTTCAAAAATTGACAATTTCAAAATGTTCTGTGATTAGGTTTGTTTGGTCTCAGTGGTCAACAGCTATTGATATCAGTCACTGATCCATAGAGGAGGGCACGACACTCTTACCTGTTTTAAACTAAATGTTCTATCCATATCGTCTAACAGGTTATAGTCTTTATGTAGTTTGGAATTTCACTCCACCACTGAAAGAGTTTCCTTGAATTTCATGTGGGAAACAGATCAGCTCAATATGGAAAAAATGTTAAAAATGCTTAAGAGACCTTTTACAGTGTCCATGTATGTAACAATTGATTTCTTTGTTTCAATTAGGATATTCACCTTTGAGATCAAGGAGCCAGACTTGGGGTAGGATACAGCTACGTTAGCAGACGCCACCGTGATATGCCTACAACAAAGTACATCAAGAAGTTAACACGTTCGCTACTGCAATAGTACGAAATTTTCCATTCACATGGACCAGCGACGCACATATGCGACGGCCGGATTCCACCCATAGACTGCCGTCGCATATATGCGACGGCTAGTCACATTTAAACGGACTGCCGACGCATATTTGCGTCGGGGTTCTAATGTTATTAAAATGCTTATATCTTTGTAGTGGTCTATTTGAAGGCACTGAATTCCCAGCAGTGGTCTACAGAGATGTCTGACGCACAACTGCGTCGCTTGGTCTGTGGATATGATGATTGGTGACGTCATATAATAGTTGGAAAAACTGGTCTTTACTTCTCTGCATCACTGTATGTATGAATGCAGTATGTATGCTGCATTATCCTATGTAGCTTTTATATTCGTTCAGTTATAAACTGTTCTTGAATAATCTGTTTAATTTTTTACTTACTTTCACTTTAAAACACAAAAAATGAACTGTCGCATCTATGCGACGTTTAGTCTATTTCAATAAAACTATGATAATTTTCACTATTGTCTTCGCTGTAGACCGGGCGTCGCAAATATGCGACATTACAAAAGGTTATAAAAACATACAAAAAAACAAGAATGATTTATTTACAAACACGATTGTAGCGTATTACAATGTAAATGACCACTGTTTTACAGGTTTTCGCCCGTGGTCTGTGTGTACTGTTATCCAAGTGACAGCCGGTCTATGTGTAAGATTCAAATGTATACCTCGGTCTGTGGCAATGACCGCGGCGTCGCATATGTGCGACGCTCAGTAGCAAACGTGTTAAACGATTACCCCACTTACTAATAAATACATTTCTTGTAAAATCAACTTATAGTTTAGAATTTTATTTTCGATATATTCATCACTATATATTGATTCTTCCGATTTTTCTGGGCCAACACCAGTGAATAGACAGGAAATTTTAATTTGTCATGATATCCATTTTAATTGTTAGTTTTCAATACCAAATAATGTGTTGATTTATTGTTTATATACTAAAGACAATTTTCCAAAACTATAGACTAAAACATAGTATCAAATAATTAGTAAAAGATACCTATCTCAAATTGACAGGCACTTGCTTTCAATCGCCTGTGTGGAACGATGCAATCTGTTTTATGTTGTAGGCAGTTAAATGTGGAGAGCGTTTTAGTGAATAGTGACTAAGAATGGGGAATTTGTTTTTCACCTAAAACCTTTTTCATTGACATCCATGGTGGTAAATCTTCTTTCACAACATTTTGAATACTATGGAAACTTAAAGCTTTGCTTTGAACGGAAAAGAAAGACATTTTTATTTAAGTAAAGTTGGTTAAATCAAGGGTGTCTTTGAACCTTGTTTGAGAAACAGATCAGCTCAATGGGGCAAGTGGGCAAGAACCTATCTACCAAATAAGCTGATGACTTATTAATTATGTAGCTTAAGAAACCTTTTACAGTGTCAATGTACCTAACAGCTGTTGATTTGTTTGTTTCTATTAGGATACTGTATCAAACGTTTGCTACTCACCTGGCACCAAAGTGCTGAAGGAGATGGACGTAGTGAAGGCTACAGTTGCGTTGATTGACAGACACCACAGTGATATGCCTGCAACAAATGCACTTCAAGAGGTTAGACAAACACCAAACTTACTTTTATACTACAATGTTGATTATTAGTTTATCTTTATAACTGATTTGTAATATACAAATAATTTTAAATATCATTAATAAAGTACAGTACCTCTACCACAGCAAACCTGTAGACTAAGCCAATTTCCATTTACCTAGCTAGATGTCCACTAAAATATTAACTAAAAATTACCAGATTTCAAAAATTCGGACCTTTCAAATAACCTTATTATTAATGAGCACTTAGCTTTGCTGCTACAGGGAAGGTGTGTTTTTAATTGAATCGTGGATAGTTTAGTATGAAATACAAAAATTTGCCAAATCAAATTATATTAAAATATATCCATAAACATGCAAACTACAGCAGTTTACTTTATTCTCCATAACAATGAGCATGGAAATGTTGAATTTACACTTTTTTACTTTCTCCATAAGGGTAAGGAGTAAAACAATGCTTAATGCACTTTTTTTAAACTCTATAAAATGATTTAGAAATAAATTGCTGAATTGTTCATTTTTAGGGTAAAAATGGGAATAACCTATCTTAATCCCATAAAACGGCCCATAAATTCCTGTTCCCATAGTCAGATCATACTGGTTTGCAACCTTGTTTGAATAAACATGTTTAAATGGTATGTTTAATTCTTTGTACCTAATTATAGAAGTATCCTATCATTTTTGGTTAAGTTATCCCACTAATGAACATATAAATAGATAAATTTGAACAAATGGTGTTTTTGGCCTCTGAGGACCTCAAACCAAAAAATTAAATCAGTCCTGGGTAATGGTCTTACCATGACACCTAGGGTAAGGTTATAGCTCATTTTCTATAATGGAAAATTCCCCGAAATCAGACAAAATTACCTTAGCATATATAAGAAGAGGCAGAGCTCACATCGCCTTTGAATAGTAAGTTCTAAGATGTCAGGAAGCAGATTCAACAAATTCCCCTGGTCAGACTAGTCGCTCACTACAATTGTGAAATCTAAAACAGAGTCTAAAAAGACAGTTTTTAGTAGAGGGCAAGGTACCGGTATATCAACTGAAAAAGAACCTACAAGTAATTGTTTTTGTTCCTGTACCGGTACTATGTATGTTTTGTACTTTGTATTCATGCCTAGTTTTGTTGATAAATATTTGGTCTAACACTTAACTAGTGTTTGCTGCAAGCTACTCTCCTGAAAGATTTGGCTCAGAAGAGTCATGGAGGAACAACGAGAGGCACTGTGTTTGTATAAACACAAGTACCGTAGTAAAATATGATCAGTTGCATACTATGAATTTCCATTCTGTTCCTTAATGTTTTAACTTTATATGTAATATTTTCTTCAATAGTTTCTTTCATATGTAATTGAGTAATAATATATCATGGTAAACACTTGGAACTGCAGAATCATAGAACTATATAAATCACAGTCCCAAGTGTCGGTTCGTTCCAGGGTAAATAAGGAATTGATGACTACTTGTTGTATTTCATAACCTTTCCAGACCAAAGTACACCTTGAATTCTTTCCTGTAAAACCATCATATTTTTCTATGTTTTTGTTTTGCGATCTATAAACATATACATAGCAAAAGATGATCAATTGCATACTTTGAAGTTCAAATCTTTCCCTTACTCTATGATATATTTCACATTGATTGTGATTATCTATTGACTAGAGTTTCATATGTAATAAGAGTAGTAATATAAAATACTAATACTTGGAACTTGTGTTTGCTGCTGATTCATCACCTGAAAATTTGACTCAGAAGAGTTATGAAGGAACAACAAGAGGTGTACGATACCTTCTGAACTCTGAGATGAACTGATTTTAGAGTCTGCAATAAATATAGTGCTAGGAGTCTGCAAGATTACAAGTCATCGGTTCCCCTCGTAACAAATCCACATAATGTTTGATAGGACAGGACCCAGAAAACTTGCAAACTGCAGAATCATAGAACTGCATAAATCACAGTCCCGTGTATCGGTCCGTTCCAGGGTAAATAAGGAATTGTTGACTACTTGTCGTATTTCATAACCTTTCCAGGCCAAAGTACCCCTTGATTTCTTCGTAGTTCATATCACCACTATATGTGTTTTCAACTTTGATAACTGCTATTGCAATTCTTTTTAGCCATTATGTCAAACAACCAGTTCTAATTGACCGGTATTTCTTCTGTGTTTCTAAGAATCAATCTTAAGGGTGATTGCCAAAGACATACCCAATATAAATAAATGTAATACTAGTACGACAGTAACCAAAAACCTGCAAAAAGGGGAATCCAGATTGCTGCTTCCTTCACACTATCGATTGTTGAATCCTCTTAGTGTTACAGTTGATCTTTATTTACGGTTCACAACTCGTCCAGGTCAAGGTAGGTAACAACAGTGAGCTATCTGCAACAAAGTATTTAAATATTTACTTTCAAATAATTAAACCAATGTTTTCATTCGATTACAAAAGTAGTTACCGGTATTACGTATGTATGTTTCACTGAAAAAACTATTGTTAAATTCATTGCTGCTAAGTATATGAAAAGGCATGGCCCGAGGTTGGAAAATGAGCAGGGGTTGAAAAGACAACTTTGCCATTGTGATGAACTTTATTTTCAAAACAACTTCAAAAAGGTTTTCAATTTTTCTAAAGCAAATGAGCAGCTTTTTTAATAAGTGGTTCAATAATTCAGTCTACAGTATTACTATAGGTTGGCCGCTTGGAAAGCGTCCTCCTCATAGCATTGGTGGGAAAGAGAGATACCGAGCTATGGGAGTGAGACAGACTATGGCCCTTCCCCCAATATGCTGCCGCTCCACCCCCAACCTTTTATAAATATTATCAGCTATTAAATTATCCAACTGATCAAAATGTAAACAATTACGTTCTTTATAACTTGAGAAAGATTGGTCCTGCAAAAAATATTGTATAGCCTAAATCGCATCAATATTTGAGCATCATGAAATGTTATTATATCATTGTCTAAACAGTCCCATTTGGTAACAAATGATTCCAACTCCCACAACACCGGGGCAGCACCGTGTCGGTGTCCTACCGCGGTGTCATGTCGTGCAGTGTGAAAACGGACATTGGCGGAGAGGGGAAACATACCCTCCCTCGCCGTTACCTAAAAATTTTGCGCAGGTTGTTTTCTAAGCGGCCGACCTATATTATGTTATTGTACATTATACTGTTGATATGTTGAACTATTAACAGGAGTGAAACAATAAGCTATAATTTGCTGATTTTGCAACAGTATGACAAAAAGTATACTGTATTATGTTTTAGAAAGAAGGAAACTCCTCATGTTTTAGCTCAAGAAACCTTTTACAGTGTCAGTCTATGAAACAACCATTGATTAATTTGTTTCTATTAGGTTATCAAACATAGGATATTCACCTGCGACTTAAGTGTTGGAGGAGGTTGACGTAGTGCAGGCTACAGTTGCGTTACTTCCCTCAATAAACTTTTGCTACGATTGACTGTCACCTCAGTGATATGACTGCAACAAGGAATGTCAAAATGTTAGACGTACAACATACTTACTATTAAATAATTATACTACTATTAATGCTATTACTTTAATTCAAATGGCTCTGCCGTTGGTATGTACATATAAATAAATAAATAAATTCTTTGATATCAAACCAAACAAGTCTAGAGTGTCCTTTCTCTTGTTGTTGAAAAAAAGTATAAAAACATTTTTGCAATATTGAAGACAATTTTGTTAAAAATTACTATAATATTGCTTATTTGTTCATCATAACTAAACATTGATATTATATTTTATTTAATTATTTAAAAAATCAAACAAAATTACCTTAGCACTTATTGCAAGAGGTGGAGCTTATGTGATCTTCGTGTAGAAAGTTCCAAGATATCAGAAAGAACTATACGAATTTCCATTGATAGATAAGTCGCTCAATACAATTTGAAAATCTAAAACAAAGTCTAAAAAGACAAGATTTAGAAGAGGACAAGAGTTATATTAATTACACTAGAACCTATAAGAGTAATTATTTTGTTCCTTTATTCATACTGTACTTAGTTTTGTTGGATACATTTTTGTCTCTACTCTACTAGTGTTTGCTGTAGATTTCTCTACTAAAAATTTGGCTCAGAAGATATGAGTTCCAACATTTTTCTTTCACTATGATTTCACGCATTGTTTGTGATTTTTTCCAGACTATTTCCATATGTAATAGAGTAGTAATATAAAATGGTAATACTTGGAACTTGTGTTTGCTAGAGATTCATCACCTGAAAATTTGGCTGAGAAGAGTTATGAAGGAACAACAAGAGGTGTACGATACCTTCTGAACTCTGAGATGAACTGATTTTAGAGTCTGAAATAAATGTAGTGCTAGGAGTCTGCAAGATTACAGGTCATCGGTTCCCCTCGTAACAAATCCACAAGCATGCACGTTAAAGTTTGATAGGACAGGACCCAGAAAACTTGCAAACTGCAGAATCATAGAACTGCATAAATAACAGTCCCGTGTATCGGTCCGTTCCAGGGTAGACAAGGCTATAAATGCAAGCTATAAATACGGCAAGCTACAGGCAAGCAATATATACATGCAAAAAAAAACAGGCAATATATACATGCAAAAAATAACAAGCAATATATACATGCTATAAATGGACACAAACACACGGTGCTCAAGACCTTCTGAACTCTGAGATGAACTGACTTTAGAGTCTGAAATAAATGTAGTGCTACGAGTCCACAAGATTACAGGTCATCGGTTCCCCTCGTAACAAATCCACAAGCATGCACGTTAAAGTTTGATAGGACAGGACCCAGAAAACTTGCAAACTGCAGAATCATAGAACTGCATAAATAACAGTCCCGTGTGTCGGTCCGTTCCAGGGTAGACAAGGCTATAAATGCAAGCTATAAATACGGCAAGCTACAGGCAAGCAATATGTACATGCAAAAAAAAATAGGCAATAACATGCAATAAATAAATACAGACAATAATACAGGACACAAACACACGGTGCTCAAGACCTTCTGAACTCTGGGATGAACTGACTTTAGAGTCTGAAATAAATGTAGTGCTACGAGTCCACAAGATTACAGGTCATCGGTTCCCCTCGTAACAAATCCACAAGCATGCACGTTAAAGTTTGATAGGACAGGACCCAGAAAACTTGCAAACTGCAGAATCATAGAACTGCATAAATAACAGTCCCGTGTATCGGTCTGTTCCAGGGTAGACAAGGCTATAAATGCAAGCTATAAATACGGCAAGCAATATATACATGCAAAAAAAAAAAACAGGCAATATATACATGCAAAAAATAACAGGCAATAACATGCAATAAATAAATATGGACAATAATACAGGACACAAACACACGGTGCACAAGACCTTCTGAACTCTGGGATGAACTGATTTTAGAGTCTGAAATAAATGTAGTGCTATGAGTCCACAGGATTACAGGTAATCGGTTCCCCTCGTAACAAATCCACAAGCATGCACGTTAAAGTTTGATAGGACAGGACCCAGAAAACTTGCAAACTGCAGAATCATAGAACTATATAAATCACAGTCCCAAGTGTCGGTTCGTTCCAGGGTAAATAAGGAATTGTTGACTACTTGTTGTATTTCATAACCTTTCCAGACCAAAGTACACCTTGAATTCTTTCCTGTAAAACCATCATATTTTTCTATGTTTTTGTTTTGCGATCTATAAACATATACATAGCAAAAGATGATCAATTGCATACTTTGAAGTTCAAATCTTTCCCTTACTCTATGATATATTTCACATTGATTGTGATTATCTATTGACTAGAGTTTCATATGTAATAAGAGTAGTAATATAAAATACTAATACTTGGAACTTGTGTTTGCTGCTGATTCATCACCTGAAAATTTGACTCAGAAGAGTTATGAAGGAACAACAAGAGGTGTACGATACCTTCTGAACTCTGAGATGAACTGATTTTAGAGTCTGCAATAAATATAGTGCTAGGAGTCTGCAAGATTACAAGTCATCGGTTCCCCTCGTAACAAATCCACATAATGTTTGATAGGACAGGACCCAGAAAACTTGCAAACTGCAGAATCATAGAACTGCATAAATCACAGTCCCGTGTATCGGTCCGTTCCAGGGTAAATAAGGAATTGTTGACTACTTGTCGTATTTCATAACCTTTCCAGGCCAAAGTACCCCTTGATTTCTTCGTAGTTCATATCACCACTATATGTGTTTTCAACTTTGATAACTGCTATTGCAATTCTTTTTAGCCATTATGTCAAACAACCAGTTCTAATTGACCGGTATTTCTTCTGTGTTTCTAAGAATCAATCTTAAGGGTGATTGCCAAAGACATACCCAATATAAATAAATGTAATACTAGTACGACAGTAACCAAAAACCTGCAAAAAGGGGAATCCAGATTGCTGCTTCCTTCACACTATCGATTGTTGAATCCTCTTAGTGTTACAGTTGATCTTTATTTACGGTTCACAACTCGTCCAGGTCAAGGTAGGTAACAACAGTGAGCTATCTGCAACAAAGTATTTAAATATTTACTTTCAAATAATTAAACCAATGTTTTCATTCGATTACAAAAGTAGTTACCGGTATTACGTATGTATGTTTCACTGAAAAAACTATTGTTAAATTCATTGCTGCTAAGTATATGAAAAGGCATGGCCCGAGGTTGGAAAATGAGCAGGGGTTGAAAAGACAACTTTGCCATTGTGATGAACTTTATTTTCAAAACAACTTCAAAAAGGTTTTCAATTTTTCTAAAGCAAATGAGCAGCTTTTTTAATAAGTGGTTCAATAATTCAGTCTACAGTATTACTATAGGTTGGCCGCTTGGAAAGCGTCCTCCTCATAGCATTGGTGGGAAAGAGAGATACCGAGCTATGGGAGTGAGACAGACTATGGCCCTTCCCCCAATATGCTGCCGCTCCACCCCCAACCTTTTATAAATATTATCAGCTATTAAATTATCCAACTGATCAAAATGTAAACAATTACGTTCTTTATAACTTGAGAAAGATTGGTCCTGCAAAAAATATTGTATAGCCTAAATCGCATCAATATTTGAGCATCATGAAATGTTATTATATCATTGTCTAAACAGTCCCATTTGGTAACAAATGATTCCAACTCCCACAACACCGGGGCAGCACCGTGTCGGTGTCCTACCGCGGTGTCATGTCGTGCAGTGTGAAAACGGACATTGGCGGAGAGGGGAAACATACCCTCCCTCGCCGTTACCTAAAAATTTTGCGCAGGTTGTTTTCTAAGCGGCCGACCTATATTATGTTATTGTACATTATACTGTTGATATGTTGAACTATTAACAGGAGTGAAACAATAAGCTATAATTTGCTGATTTTGCAACAGTATGACAAAAAGTATACTGTATTATGTTTTAGAAAGAAGGAAACTCCTCATGTTTTAGCTCAAGAAACCTTTTACAGTGTCAGTCTATGAAACAACCATTGATTAATTTGTTTCTATTAGGTTATCAAACATAGGATATTCACCTGCGACTTAAGTGTTGGAGGAGGTTGACGTAGTGCAGGCTACAGTTGCGTTACTTCCCTCAATAAACTTTTGCTACGATTGACTGTCACCTCAGTGATATGACTGCAACAAGGAATGTCAAAATGTTAGACGTACAACATACTTACTATTAAATAATTATACTACTATTAATGCTATTACTTTAATTCAAATGGCTCTGCCGTTGGTATGTACATATAAATAAATAAATAAATTCTTTGATATCAAACCAAACAAGTCTAGAGTGTCCTTTCTCTTGTTGTTGAAAAAAAGTATAAAAACATTTTTGCAATATTGAAGACAATTTTGTTAAAAATTACTATAATATTGCTTATTTGTTCATCATAACTAAACATTGATATTATATTTTATTTAATTATTTAAAAAATCAAACAAAATTACCTTAGCACTTATTGCAAGAGGTGGAGCTTATGTGATCTTCGTGTAGAAAGTTCCAAGATATCAGAAAGAACTATACGAATTTCCATTGATAGATAAGTCGCTCAATACAATTTGAAAATCTAAAACAAAGTCTAAAAAGACAAGATTTAGAAGAGGACAAGAGTTATATTAATTACACTAGAACCTATAAGAGTAATTATTTTGTTCCTTTATTCATACTGTACTTAGTTTTGTTGGATACATTTTTGTCTCTACTCTACTAGTGTTTGCTGTAGATTTCTCTACTAAAAATTTGGCTCAGAAGATATGAGTTCCAACATTTTTCTTTCACTATGATTTCACGCATTGTTTGTGATTTTTTCCAGACTATTTCCATATGTAATAGAGTAGTAATATAAAATGGTAATACTTGGAACTTGTGTTTGCTAGAGATTCATCACCTGAAAATTTGGCTGAGAAGAGTTATGAAGGAACAACAAGAGGTGTACGATACCTTCTGAACTCTGAGATGAACTGATTTTAGAGTCTGAAATAAATGTAGTGCTAGGAGTCTGCAAGATTACAGGTCATCGGTTCCCCTCGTAACAAATCCACAAGCATGCACGTTAAAGTTTGATAGGACAGGACCCAGAAAACTTGCAAACTGCAGAATCATAGAACTGCATAAATAACAGTCCCGTGTGTCGGTCCGTTCCAGGGTAGACAAGGCTATAAATGCAAGCTATAAATACGGCAAGCTACAGGCAAGCAATATGTACATGCAAAAAAAAATAGGCAATAACATGCAATAAATAAATACAGACAATAATACAGGACACAAACACACGGTGCTCAAGACCTTCTGAACTCTGGGATGAACTGACTTTAGAGTCTGAAATAAATGTAGTGCTACGAGTCCACAAGATTACAGGTCATCGGTTCCCCTCGTAACAAATCCACAAGCATGCACGTTAAAGTTTGATAGGACAGGACCCAGAAAACTTGCAAACTGCAGAATCATAGAACTGCATAAATAACAGTCCCGTGTATCGGTCTGTTCCAGGGTAGACAAGGCTATAAATGCAAGCTATAAATACGGCAAGCAATATATACATGCAAAAAAAAAAACAGGCAATATATACATGCAAAAAATAACAGGCAATAACATGCAATAAATAAATATGGACAATAATACAGGACACAAACACACGGTGCACAAGACCTTCTGAACTCTGGGATGAACTGATTTTAGAGTCTGAAATAAATGTAGTGCTATGAGTCCACAGGATTACAGGTAATCGGTTCCCCTCGTAACAAATCCACAAGCATGCACGTTAAAGTTTGATAGGACAGGACCCAGAAAACTTGCAAACTGCAGAATCATAGAACTATATAAATCACAGTCCCAAGTGTCGGTTCGTTCCAGGGTAAATAAGGAATTGTTGACTACTTGTTGTATTTCATAACCTTTCCAGACCAAAGTACACCTTGAATTCTTTCCTGTAAAACCATCATATTTTTCTATGTTTTTGTTTTGCGATCTATAAACATATACATAGCAAAAGATGATCAATTGCATACTTTGAAGTTCAAATCTTTCCCTTACTCTATGATATATTTCACATTGATTGTGATTATCTATTGACTAGAGTTTCATATGTAATAAGAGTAGTAATATAAAATACTAATACTTGGAACTTGTGTTTGCTGCTGATTCATCACCTGAAAATTTGACTCAGAAGAGTTATGAAGGAACAACAAGAGGTGTACGATACCTTCTGAACTCTGAGATGAACTGATTTTAGAGTCTGCAATAAATATAGTGCTAGGAGTCTGCAAGATTACAAGTCATCGGTTCCCCTCGTAACAAATCCACATAATGTTTGATAGGACAGGACCCAGAAAACTTGCAAACTGCAGAATCATAGAACTGCATAAATCACAGTCCCGTGTATCGGTCCGTTCCAGGGTAAATAAGGAATTGTTGACTACTTGTCGTATTTCATAACCTTTCCAGGCCAAAGTACCCCTTGATTTCTTCGTAGTTCATATCACCACTATATGTGTTTTCAACTTTGATAACTGCTATTGCAATTCTTTTTAGCCATTATGTCAAACAACCAGTTCTAATTGACCGGTATTTCTTCTGTGTTTCTAAGAATCAATCTTAAGGGTGATTGCCAAAGACATACCCAATATAAATAAATGTAATACTAGTACGACAGTAACCAAAAACCTGCAAAAAGGGGAATCCAGATTGCTGCTTCCTTCACACTATCGATTGTTGAATCCTCTTAGTGTTACAGTTGATCTTTATTTACGGTTCACAACTCGTCCAGGTCAAGGTAGGTAACAACAGTGAGCTATCTGCAACAAAGTATTTAAATATTTACTTTCAAATAATTAAACCAATGTTTTCATTCGATTACAAAAGTAGTTACCGGTATTACGTATGTATGTTTCACTGAAAAAACTATTGTTAAATTCATTGCTGCTAAGTATATGAAAAGGCATGGCCCGAGGTTGGAAAATGAGCAGGGGTTGAAAAGACAACTTTGCCATTGTGATGAACTTTATTTTCAAAACAACTTCAAAAAGGTTTTCAATTTTTCTAAAGCAAATGAGCAGCTTTTTTAATAAGTGGTTCAATAATTCAGTCTACAGTATTACTATAGGTTGGCCGCTTGGAAAGCGTCCTCCTCATAGCATTGGTGGGAAAGAGAGATACCGAGCTATGGGAGTGAGACAGACTATGGCCCTTCCCCCAATATGCTGCCGCTCCACCCCCAACCTTTTATAAATATTATCAGCTATTAAATTATCCAACTGATCAAAATGTAAACAATTACGTTCTTTATAACTTGAGAAAGATTGGTCCTGCAAAAAATATTGTATAGCCTAAATCGCATCAATATTTGAGCATCATGAAATGTTATTATATCATTGTCTAAACAGTCCCATTTGGTAACAAATGATTCCAACTCCCACAACACCGGGGCAGCACCGTGTCGGTGTCCTACCGCGGTGTCATGTCGTGCAGTGTGAAAACGGACATTGGCGGAGAGGGGAAACATACCCTCCCTCGCCGTTACCTAAAAATTTTGCGCAGGTTGTTTTCTAAGCGGCCGACCTATATTATGTTATTGTACATTATACTGTTGATATGTTGAACTATTAACAGGAGTGAAACAATAAGCTATAATTTGCTGATTTTGCAACAGTATGACAAAAAGTATACTGTATTATGTTTTAGAAAGAAGGAAACTCCTCATGTTTTAGCTCAAGAAACCTTTTACAGTGTCAGTCTATGAAACAACCATTGATTAATTTGTTTCTATTAGGTTATCAAACATAGGATATTCACCTGCGACTTAAGTGTTGGAGGAGGTTGACGTAGTGCAGGCTACAGTTGCGTTACTTCCCTCAATAAACTTTTGCTACGATTGACTGTCACCTCAGTGATATGACTGCAACAAGGAATGTCAAAATGTTAGACGTACAACATACTTACTATTAAATAATTATACTACTATTAATGCTATTACTTTAATTCAAATGGCTCTGCCGTTGGTATGTACATATAAATAAATAAATAAATTCTTTGATATCAAACCAAACAAGTCTAGAGTGTCCTTTCTCTTGTTGTTGAAAAAAAGTATAAAAACATTTTTGCAATATTGAAGACAATTTTGTTAAAAATTACTATAATATTGCTTATTTGTTCATCATAACTAAACATTGATATTATATTTTATTTAATTATTTAAAAAATCAAACAAAATTACCTTAGCACTTATTGCAAGAGGTGGAGCTTATGTGATCTTCGTGTAGAAAGTTCCAAGATATCAGAAAGAACTATACGAATTTCCATTGATAGATAAGTCGCTCAATACAATTTGAAAATCTAAAACAAAGTCTAAAAAGACAAGATTTAGAAGAGGACAAGAGTTATATTAATTACACTAGAACCTATAAGAGTAATTATTTTGTTCCTTTATTCATACTGTACTTAGTTTTGTTGGATACATTTTTGTCTCTACTCTACTAGTGTTTGCTGTAGATTTCTCTACTAAAAATTTGGCTCAGAAGATATGAGTTCCAACATTTTTCTTTCACTATGATTTCACGCATTGTTTGTGATTTTTTCCAGACTATTTCCATATGTAATAGAGTAGTAATATAAAATGGTAATACTTGGAACTTGTGTTTGCTAGAGATTCATCACCTGAAAATTTGGCTGAGAAGAGTTATGAAGGAACAACAAGAGGTGTACGATACCTTCTGAACTCTGAGATGAACTGATTTTAGAGTCTGAAATAAATGTAGTGCTAGGAGTCTGCAAGATTACAGGTCATCGGTTCCCCTCGTAACAAATCCACAAGCATGCACGTTAAAGTTTGATAGGACAGGACCCAGAAAACTTGCAAACTGCAGAATCATAGAACTGCATAAATAACAGTCCCGTGTATCGGTCCGTTCCAGGGTAGACAAGGCTATAAATGCAAGCTATAAATACGGCAAGCTACAGGCAAGCAATATATACATGCAAAAAAAAAACAGGCAATATATACATGCAAAAAATAACAAGCAATATATACATGCTATAAATGGACACAAACACACGGTGCTCAAGACCTTCTGAACTCTGAGATGAACTGACTTTAGAGTCTGAAATAAATGTAGTGCTACGAGTCCACAAGATTACAGGTCATCGGTTCCCCTCGTAACAAATCCACAAGCATGCACGTTAAAGTTTGATAGGACAGGACCCAGAAAACTTGCAAACTGCAGAATCATAGAACTGCATAAATAACAGTCCCGTGTGTCGGTCCGTTCCAGGGTAGACAAGGCTATAAATGCAAGCTATAAATAC